CAGAGATCCGAGGTTGCCCACAGTTGGCATGGAAAGACCCCACCCCAGCCAGTTAAACACATAAGAGAAAGGTGCCCACATGGCAACTCTCACCCGATCAGCCCGTGTTCGCAAAGGTCTAAACAGACTGGGGCCCAGCTCCAGGGAGAGTCAGGAGGTCTGCCCTGAGCCAGGAAGCTCTGTGGAGTGCACTCCACAGACAGACACTCCTGACTCCCTGCAAGTGGTCCCAGCTTTTATCCCCAAGCAGACACCTGACCTTTGTCAACTCAGTGCGGGACCCCTGGGGCTCATTTCCCTTATGTCTCTCCCTGCAGGGCCGGCTGCACCCTGGGGGGAAGCCATAAGGCAAACTCACCACCTCTGTATGAAGGGCTGTGGGAATCACCCATGTGTCAACATTAATTCGGGGCTCGGGGTTCAGACCCCAGCATTTCACCAGTTCATGAGAAAAAGGGACCAACATGTCCTGGCTATGACTTGTCTCAGCACCTTTTCCAGTTACACCTTCACAAGAGGGTTTCACACCCTCACAGACGCTATTCTATTTTCTCAACAGTTTCTTTATGGCAACATTCAAAACCTTATGTGAAAACCTTGCAACTATTTGGCAACTGCTTTCTAAACCTTATGCATGATCTGGCAGATACTTAAACAAATTCTCCTCTTGGGAGTCTAAGAGACTGACGCAAGTTATACTATGTGGGGTCTATAATACTGGCAATAAACCCTGCTTTGAAGTAGGGCCTCTTTTCCTTCTCACTAGGGAAAGCATTTTCCAGCTGTTAGTTTCTAGAACTAAAGAAGAAAGGAAGATGGCAACTCATGGAGTTTAAGCTGAACAAGTTATGCTGCAAGCTCAAGATGAGAGCCTGTAAAGTAGGGCTGTTAGTCTCTGCACACCTCTGCAGGATGACGAGGTGTCCCTAGCAGGGGGGGAAAGGCGGCCGTGCTGCAGGGCACACGGCCCCCCAGCCTTCCCTCACACACCGGGCTCAGCCGCAGCCCTGCTCAGCGCCAGGACAGCCGCTGGCATCGAGCAGTGCCTGCACAGCTGCCTGGCAGAGGTCCTCTCAGGGAAGCTGGTAATGGGAACCTGTTAGGAGTGATGCTACAGCTAGTTAAATCTGTAAGGCTTAGCACGAGAGCTCAGCAGTACAGCAGCTGGAAGTGAACTCAGGTTGTGAAGAGGAGATCCCTGATGCTGCCAGGGCACTTCGTAGTCTGGTCTGACGCAGCACCCCGTTGTGACACCAGCAGGACTGACCAGCATGACATGCTCTCCCAGGAGGCAGCGTCTCTGTACAACGGTGACTGGAGACTGGCAGGCTTTGTCCTGGCTGCAGTGTCTGCTGAGGGTGCCATTTCAGGTTCCATTTCAGCTGTTTCCTTCATCCAGGTGGGTCATGACACTGTTGTCTGGCCTCAGAGCTTCAGTGTAGAGATCTGAGAGCTTGGGTCTGAATTCCAAGAGAGTCAAATCTCTTCATCAACCTGCATGCCGCCAGGGTGCTCCCTTCTTTAGGGGCCAGCAGCTTTGGTACCAAGGGCAGCGTTCCCACAGGCAAGCACAACAGTACAAGAACACATCCCTTCCTCGGGGAGAGCTGGAAGCTCTTCATTCCACATCATGTTCACCAGTCCTCAGTGTATACCCTCAGCTTGTCTGGGAACCTTAACACATGATCGTATGAACAGCAGCAAAAAAAAAACACAAAACAGGATTAAAGAGTAACATCTTCAGAGCTGTCTTCCAGGACTTGGGGTTCTCATAGGTTGACTTATCTTAGGCATGAAGGTTAAGTGCTACTCTTGTGGTTTGTGTATCTAACTCTTCCTTTGCTTCCCACACAAGCTTCTTGATAACAAAGTATTTCATGGCCACATTTCCATTTCTCCCACTCTTTGAGACCAAAGGGAATGAAGGCGTTGTCACTAGTCTGGGACTGTGTTTCTATAATGGCAATGTAATCTCTTTTGCTTTTTTATAGACTCAAACCAAAGTTCAATTATTCAATTTATTAGTGCTGTTTAGACTGCCTCACATATGAAATACTACCTCCGAATAAAAAAATAAGTTACAAAATGAACAGCAAGTTTCCTAAAAACTTATCCAGAAGTGAACAGAAAAACAGAGCTGTATTTCAACATTATTTCTATGTGGCATAAAAAATTATCAAAGACTATTTCAGAGTGACTGAAAATTGCCTGATGAAGTTCACTTACAAGAGTAAACCATATTTCCAATTTCCTGCAGAGCAAAACTAAGGCCCTGAGAAATTAAAGAGTTAGGTTTAAACCCACAGGAACAGGTCTTCCACCTCCCAACTGCTCCTCCATAAGCATTAGAGTGCATTGCTACAACTGGATGCACTTTAGTCATTTCATAGGTGTAGTGGATAAAGCCAAGTTGCACATTTTCAAGGCTCGAGTCCTCAGCAATAACTTAATTGCTATTGCATAAGAGACTCAAAATGAAACTGAAAATAAAAGCCACAGGGGAAGTTCACCTTCTGCTGTATGGCATGGAGCAAATAACATCTGGCTTAAGATAACCAAGTGAAGGTGGTCATGTGAGGCTGCACAGCAATTTAACTTACTCAGAGGTTTAGAAATAGGAGGTCTTGAAGGACACTCCCCAGTTGGAGGGCACATGCAGTGACAGAAGAATGACTGGCTCACCACGTCATGTTTAACTCCGTTCTCCAGCCTCTGCCTAAAGAATAGGTTAATGCTTCCGTTCACGACTGTGACACAGACATTTATATATACAGGCCCCAAAAATGACGTCAGAATCCACTAACTGGTGCGGTAAGACCATGAACAGCAAAGGCTTCATTCAGTTAATGCTGATCTTCATTTACTCTTCAGTAACAACATATTTTAAGTGTTCAGGAAAAAAGGAAAAAATTTTCTGAAGGAAAAAAAAAAAAAATCAGGAACAAAGTACAAGGAACAGGCAACAGTAACCTCCCTACAAACCATACACTTTGCATTTGCTTCCAATTCAGACTGCCTGATGACACAGCAAATACTGTTTGCATGCCTTGCCACTGTTTCCAGGGTACACCGTTTCACTTGCCTTACTCCTTACCCTCTCAGACCACCTGCTATTGGCAACAGTACAAATAATGCTCTAATTGTAACTTTAAGGTTGGCCCAGAATAAGAGTTACATAAAAAGAGCTGACATATGGCCTTGGGATGAGGTAGACCCAGCCACGTCTTCTGTAATACATCCCAACCAGTTTTAGTTTACTTCCCGAGCCTGTCATGATGCAGGTGAGAAAATGAGTCAAACAGGCAGCTCAGGCAAGCAGAGAAGTGCCAGCTGTTACCCAGGACCCTGGCCAGTCTCCGGTGTTTCAGAATGAACTTCCTACGGACTGTGGGAACTGAGAAGAGCACCACTCTAGGCAGAGAAAGCAGTTTGAGTTCAGCTCAGCAGCCTGACTGTAGCCTGTCCACTTGTACCAAGATGGTGCAACTTCCTTTAAAGAATATGTAATACGCTTATGCCAGAGCCGCATCCTCTCAGACAACCATTTGCTGTCCTACTGCCAGACAGGCAGCTCAGATTTTTTTTTCATCTCACAGAGCAGCAATCGTGTTGAAGTCTTGTACAAAATGCAACTAACTTTTGATCTTATATTTCAAAGTATCAGAGCATTCAACTTCCAAACACCTAACAAAAATGTTTAAAGGCAACAGGAGATGACAGGAGCCAGCACATTACAGGGATAAAAAGCTACTTCTGAGAACACTCGCATTTCTATAAGGCAAATAACAGCACACTAAACAAAGGACCATTAGAAGTCAGTATTTAGACATTTATTTCAGATACGCAGTTTACACGCATATTACTGAGCAAAACTGAATTGCAAATATACAAATACTGTAACAAGCATTACCAAATAACATAACTGGCACTAGTGTTATAAGCATATTACTGAAACTGGTGAGGATAACTCATGGAAGAGGACTGCAGCTCATGGCATTTTCTTTTTATCCAACCAAACTTCCAGTAGCACCATAATGGCCATACATAAAACACAACACAGAACATTGTTAACTGTTTTTCTGATATTCACAACCGATTTTTTTTTTTTTTTCATTTTAGTGAATTACATAGCAAAAAAACATGAACAGTGCAGGCGCTTTGGCCCACTTCAGCTTGTGTTCAGCTGTACATCTTCCATATGCAAAAGAAAAAAGCCAGCATATTTGGAACCCATCTTTGCACTTGGGCAGTCACTGCACTGCACTTTGATTCTGGGACTGAAGAGACGTGTGTCTGGCAAAGAGATGTCATGTCCACTAAAGCCTGAGTGAGTCTTTGGTAGGCTAATACTTCATTATTATTATTATACATTTATCTACCACTGTCATTTTATTCCCTAGAATTTTCTTTTGTGATCCAAGGTGGCCAAAGAGGACATTCTGGAAAACATTACAGTAAAATCCTCAAACGACCAGGCACTTCAAACCCAGTCTTTTCCAAAGGCACCAAGAATTGATGGGGCATTGTTTTTCCCCTAATGAAAGGTGACTGCATCTGCTTTTCTACAATACTTATAAATCACTGGATTGTTATTTTACAGTTTTTATACACTACAGAGTAGCCTTATCTGCTGCATGGCTGGTCACATGAATAAATAAGTAACCCTGCTGTTCTTCACAGGTGACGTCTCCATTCCACCATAGATTAGGTAACAATATCTCCTGTTTCAAAATGATGTAAAATGCCATAACCTTGCTCAAAGTGTACACACGTACAAACACTTTTGACACAGGCTACATCCATCTGAAGATATGCAGCTCATTCTACATGCATTCTAAATACAGTGTGTCCGGTTATGAAACAAAATTGTCCTTACAAATATTCACTGCTGAAATACGGTTGTACTGGTCTCTGCAAAACTGTTGCTTCCCTTAAGCGGAGTTCACTAATGCTCAGCTAACGCCCATTTATCCCAAACCCCGTTACTTCCCAACCGAACAGTGCGGGACATATCATTCATTTCAGCATTTAACGTATTAAGAATTGACCAGTTTTTAACTAAATACACCAAGTATATGCTTTCAAGCAAAGTTGTGGCAAAAATACAAAACATGGACGTATTTGTACCTGCTGTAATGCACTTGGTTAAAGCCTTCGTGTCTCTTCACACAGGTCTAAGATCCATATGAAGCATTTTGCCTTATTGGACAAGTATATATAAAATGCAGTTGTATCAAAACCTTGCTTCTGCTGGTCACCTGAAACTTACAGAAGTCACATGTAATTCAACCAGCTTTCAGACAGGGTTCTTTAGTGGTAAATATATTTTTGCAGCACTTACAGGCTTAAATTTCAGTCTGAATAGCAGTGCTTAATTCCACAGCATGTTGTGAATGGTTGTTGTTTGTTTCTTTTGGTGTTTCACTGTCACCTAAATCTACATCCGTCGAAGATCCATGATTAATGCTTTCCTCAGCAATGTAGCTCAGCTGTGGAACATCAGCGCTTGGGGCTGTTGGAACAGGCACAGGGATTCCACTTGGCTGTGGAGAGTTTTCCAGGCGATCATTTTCCACCTCTGGGAGAACACTGACTGTGGTGAAGCGAGTGTGATAGTCGCTGGAACCATGGCTACAGGAAGTTTTCATGCTTTCCATATCTGAGCAACTAAACTCAGAAAAATGACTGGAGTGAGAATCTGCTACGGACGGAATACTATCACTAAGAGAGGGAGAGTCAAATTCACTGGAGTTTGTGCTTTGTTGCTCCAACAGCTGAGCATCCATGTCCTCTCTTGTCTCATTTATCTTCGTGCTGCTCTTCTTTCTCAGTTTACCTTTACATTTTTTTCCTGATGCTGTTTCTTTGCACCACTTGGTGGCACTCGATTTACTTTCTGGCAAGCCGGCCGACGAACAACCGGCATTACTACGGCCTGCAGCACTGCCGTCATCAACGCTACTGCTTCCGCTGTTGTGTCTGAACTTGGCTGGCTTTGACTCTATATCCACTTGCACTTCCATGCTGTTGCCTTCCCTAGAACAAGAAGGAATCTGTGAGTTTAAGTGGTCACCTAAGACAAGGCAGCTAACAGCAAAACAAACTCTTGCTACTTTCCAAGATACTTAAGAGATGTAACTTGTTTTACAGAAGTTAAATCTTTAACCAAATAAATGGCCCAAAGAGAAACAAAGTCTGAAAGACAAAACACATGACTGAGCTACAACCTCTTTAGAAACAAACCTAGCAAAAAGTAAGCAGTTGCATGTCATTCAATCTCTAACAAAATTTGCCTTTTCAAAGGGTAATCACTGAAGTAGAAGAACTGAGGCATGCTTAGAGCATCCTCTAATAAGCAAGGCTTATTAATTCTTTGTTTTCACCACATTTTTCTTACCTGTCCAAAGGGATGTAGGAGTTCAGAATGGATCCTGCCATTGCTTTGGTACTGGCATTGTCACTAACTGTTCCCAAGCTAACGGTGCCAGACTCTCCACTCAGACTGTATCGTTCTTTCTGCACGTCTGCTTGTACTTCCAGTCTTGGAGAGAAAGAAAAAGATTTGTGTCCACTGCTGCAACAGTTACAGCACACTAGCTGAAAATCAGTGTCCCCTTGCCCAGTTTCTCCATCATTCAGTAGCAAGTAGAGTTTATCAGTTACTCCAGTACAGATGTGCATATTTACTCTACTGAAACAAACAGGTTCTCTTCCCATGCCAAAACTGAATTTAAAAAACCCAAACAAAACCACTACAAAGCAAAACCAGATTAATTTTGCAACAAAGCAAAACGTTGCATGTTAACCAGAGGATTCTTTCCTCCCTGACATTTACACAAAGACAATTCCCAGGCTTAGACAGAATTCTTTTGCAGTTAGTGTACTGTACTCTAACAATGGAAAAAACAATCAGATGGGGATGTAAGTTCAAGACATGCTAGTGTCCATATTTCTCCAGCTGCCAAATTATTATGAATCAAAAAACAGGCAGAAACCTGTGTTATACTGTTACTGTTTTATATTGTACTGCTACCAAGTGCAACAGGAAAAATAAAAAACTAAGCAATCTTAAGGTGCGCTGAGCAGATAAGCCAGAAATCAAATTATAAAAGCTCTTTTCCCAAATGGTTTATCTGTTTTCCTACAGTGGATTGGAAGTGGTTTTTCATTTTGTTTCCCACTCTCAGCTCTTTAAAGAAGAGGATGGGTACACCTCACTTAGCAGTCACAGCCTGAAACACCTGTCCCAGCATAAAGGAACTCTCAGTGCTGTCCTGCACTCCTTGTTCTATATAGACTGGACTTCCAAATTACTCAAGAAAATGAGCAGTGTTAGCACCTGGTTTAGGGAGCAAATTCCATCCTGAACCCTGAACGTTAACAATTCTTTCCAGACTTTCTTTCTCTTCAGGGTGCAGGACAGCCAGCAAACAGTAAGGCCCCAATTCACAGGAGGCATTGAGCATGTAAGAGAAGAGAAGCTCCCTGCCTGGCAAGGCCAGGTGCCCAGCCTCCCCTCCTCTCCAACTCCATTTTGAATCCACTCTCCACCCAAATGTTCTGAAGGCACAGCCTGGTACTTATATACTGAACAAGTCAGCAGTTCTGACTTAGGGGTGAGATGCACCAGAGAACACAACTGTGTTAAGGCCTGAGGTGCCTCCCTCGGACTCCTGGGTAGAAGCTGCTCTCCTGGGAAGCAGGAGAAGAAAATCTCACAACTCCACTCACCCTGAAAAAAAATTTTAACTTTTCTTTCAGGATTGTGGCCTGGCAGGATCTCTTGGAAATCAGCAAGTCTGTCAGAGATGAACTATCTTTGTCTCCCAGAGATAGTTCCTTTTAACAGGAACCAATTGTAAAAATAAATCAATTGATCTGAAAACCTAGTAATCCCACTCCCTCTGCTTACACATGGAGCAGGGCACTGTATGGCAGAAAGCCCAGCTCTCACCTGTTAAAGCAGTTAACCATCGCACTGCCCGAGAGACTCCCTGTGATACTGGCCCCGGCCAGGGCCATGGTGCTGGCGGTTTCGCTGAGGTTGTCCCGAATGGCTCCTATCCTGTCCATGTGGCTACCGCTGGCGCTCAGGCTGCCCGTCAGCCCCCCGACGCTCCCTTCGCCGATGCTGGGGTTGTGACGCGCCTCTGCCACCGAGGTGCCATCTACACAGAAATCAGAAAGGCTCCTCAGATACGCAAGTGGGATCGCATAGGTTCCAGAATGTGACCAGGGAAACCTTTCCCAAAATTATGCTGAGAAAAAGCATTTATAAAACATATGTACTGTCACTAAAAGATAGCTGTGTCTAAAACAAAAACAAACAAAAAAAATAGAGATCTTACTTGGAGTTGCTACTATTAGCTTATGCCTCACATTACATACTTAAAATACCAAAAAAATGGATAGAATCATAGGGGTTGGAAGGGAC